GCAGCAAGCTGCTATTTACCCCCCCCCCCCGCCGTGGATGCTGCTGCGCCGCCACGTGACAGCTACTGCGAACTAAAGACCCCCCTGCTCGAGGGGGCTGCTCTACAGTGGTGAGGGCCTGCTCACACAGCAGACCCTAGATATGCACATCTGCAAAGTGCTGCTGGGGGCTGATCAAGATCTCAGCCCCCCTCTCTCCTCCAACTGGCTGTTGCAGCGCAGACCAAGACCCTCCTGGTCTTGGTGTACCTTGTGCCCTTGGAGACACCAAGGACCAGGTATCACTCCCTTCTCCCCTCTCCCTCTACTAACCCACTCTCCCTACCTCTCCTCTCTCTTCTTATTCACCCCTTCTCTTTCTCCTACCTTCTACTGCATCTTTTCTCTCCTCCTTTTATCTTCCCCACCCCACCTTTCTCCCACCTCTTATTCTTTTACTCTATTTTCTTCATCTCTTCTTTTCTTTCCTTCTTTCTCCTTCTTTCTTGATCCCTGTCCACCTTTCCCCATCCCTCCTCTCCCCCCCTACCTCCCTCTTTATCTTTTTCTCTCCCCCCACCTATTTCTTTCTTTTCTCCTTCACTTTTTCATTCCCCTTCCCCCCTACTTCGAATTTTTTTCTGTTTTTCTTCTTTCCACCTCTCTTTTGATTTATCTTTTATCTTTTCCAAAAATTCGAAATCTCTTCTTTCCCACCCTCTTTTCTTATTTTCTGATTTATTTTATTTATTTATATTTATTCTGAAAATTCGAATTTCTTGGCGGCAACCCTAAATCTGATTAGGTGTTAGCCTTTCTTGCTTTCGGCACACGTTTTGACCCCGTGGGGGTAACGAAGTGCTGCCGAAATTTTCTGATTTTCTCTTACTTAGTCTTTTCGGCACACTTTGACCCCATGGGGGTAACGAAATGCTGCCAAAATTTTTGAAAAATCAGATAACCCATTTCTCCCCACCTCCTCACACATTTATTTATTTATTAGTTCTTTATTTATTTCCTGAAATTTTTGTTTATTATTTGCGGCATCTCTAGTGTGTTCACCTTGGTCTCTCCTTTTCCCTTGGCACATTCTTGACCCCGTGGGGGGTAGGGAAATGCTGTCGAAAATTTCAAAAAATAAATCAATATTGTATTCCCTTTCCATCCTTTTACTTATTTCTTTAATTATTTTTATTATTTATTTATTTCCTTATTTATTTTTATTTTCTCTTAAAATATCGCTGTTTATTTATTTTTCTCCCGCCTTCCCCTTCCTATGCTTGCTCTTTTACTTCCTTGATTAGGTCACCGGTATCCTACCCTAACCACTTAAACCTCGGTTAGGGTTTTCCTTAGGGTTTTTGTAGGGTTTAGGGTTCCTCAAAACCCCCCTACTTCCCCGTCCTCTTCGGGCACCCTGGACCCGAACCACCCCTCCTCCATTGACGGCGCCCGCGCTAGCCTTGCTAGCGCCGTTCGCCGCTTTCTACCGCGGACTTCCCCCTACGCCCTCCGCTCACGCGGACCTCTTCTGGCCTCCTCCAGTGACTGATGGTGTGTCACACGCCGTCGATACGGCGGTGACCACTACATCGGGCTCCACACCCGTGCCGGCGGACCAGGGCCATCAGCCCCAGGGGGATTTGCACACCCTCCTCACCTCCTTCCTGGCGCCCATCCAAGCGCAACTCTCGACCCTCGCGCCCATGCAGGCGCAACTCGCGACCCTCGCGCCCTTACAGGCGCAGGTGGCGACCCTTGTCGCCGGCGTGCGGCAACTCCAGGACGCTGGTCTTCCTTCCTCTCCTCACCCTACCTCTTCTCCTGGCTCTCAGTCCGGGTCCCCCGCCTTCCGACAAGGTGGCCACGGTGGAGCTTCCTCCTCCGCTGCCCCCGCCCCGGCCATCTTGGTGACCGTCCACACACCTAGCACGACGACCGCCACGAGTCAGGCCCTCCCTCAGTCCACGGGCGCACCCGCCCAGATTCCGGTCACGACGGCCACGGGACCACAACCCGCTACCATGGTCTCAGCTTTTCCGGGTGCCCCACTTCTCCCCCCTCTTCGCACGACCGCAACGCCATCTGGCTCTTCCCCTTGTGGGATGCCTCGCGCCGCTCGTGCGTCTCCCCCCGCCACACCTCGCTCGACCTACGTTCGAAGTCTCGAGGACGAGATCGCCCGGCTCCGGACCGACCTCGCCCTCTCACGCCTTCAACCACCCCCACCCTCACAGGTGGCCGCGCCTTCCGGTGCACCCCCTTCTTCCTCTATTCTTCCTTCCATGCAGGCTCGCTTCCCTCGCCCTGCGCCCTACCAATCTCCATCCTACCTCCTCCCCATCCCCTCGATCGCCGCGACCTCTTCTACCGCAGCTCCCGTGCAGCCTGCCACTGCTTCCCCCGCCGCTCCACCATGCCGCCCGGGCGTACAGTCAGTTGCGCCTCCTCCTCCTCCAGGACCTGCGCTGACTTATTCCGCCGTAGCGCAATCCCCTGCTTCCCGTTCCCCTCGCCGCCAAAACGGTGGCATACCACTCATCCGCTTCTCAGACATCCCCTTGTATGACGGTACAGGCATACGCGTGTCTAGGTGGCTGCAGGCTGCCACCCGCACGCTCCAGCTCATAGGCGCCACACCCGACACATGGGTGGGTCACCTCTCCACGCGCCTGCGTGGTGCTCCTTTCGACGCCTGGGAGGATTTCTATGCTTACTCCCTGCATGAGGGTCGGACTCCGACCTTCATGGATTTCCAGGCGTTCCTCGAGGATCGCTTCGGAACCCGATATGACGTGACTGACGCCTTCGAGCGTGTCGTCACTACACGCTGGTCCGGCTCTGGTGGCGCTGCCGGCTTGGATCGCCATATCCAGGTCTTTCAGGACGCCCGCCTCGTTTGTGACGTGGCGTTCCTTCTCGAGGCTGCCCTTATCGATCGTTTCTTGGCCAGCCTCCCGCTCGAGTACCGCTCCGAGCTATGGCGGTACGAGTTCACATCGGCCCCAAAAGCTTACAAGGCCGCCAGGGACCATCAGCGGATGTGAGCCCGTCTTCACCCCGCCTCCTCCTCCCAGCCCCAGCGCACGGGCTATGCCTCCTCCTCCTCCCACGACACTTCCCAGCGTCGTTCCCCTTTCCGCGGTCGCCCCCGCCGTTCCACGCAGCAGCGCGCTGGAGTATGGTGAGCAGGACGTTGTTGCCCCACTGTCACCTGAGGGCGACCAAAGCGACAACCTCATTCTCTGCGAGGCCGTCCACTATCACTTAAAGGACTCGACCCTCCCTGCAGCTGAGCGCCTTCAGCTCGCGCTCTCCGCCCTCTCTCGGGCACGCAGCCGCCCCTGTCACGCTGGCGCGTCGCCCCCCGAGGTCCCTCAGGAGGACCTCCCTCAGGGCTTCGTCCCTCCTCGCGGAGTCCTTTCCGCTGAGGAGCGCGCGGCTATTCTGGGCCGACGTGGGTGTTTGCGCTGCCGCTTGGACGGTCATACCTCCTCGCGGTGCCCTTACACTACCGCCCTCAACCGCCACTACGCTGATCTTTCTCGTCAGCGTTGTGCTCAGTCCCCCCCCGGCGCCTTACGTCCCCGCGGGTTTCCTAGCCACGGTGCAGTGAACACCCTCGCCCTCCTCAGTAGTGGGCTTCCCGACATCTCCGTCACGGTTCGCCCCTCTCGCTACTGGAGTTGAGGTATCGCAGGACTCGACAGAGTGTACTCAGCCCTCTGTCGCAGTACCGTCTGCGCCTCCGCAGACCACCGTCTCCCCTCCTTCCCCGCTGCACTGCGTCGCCTTCTCGCCATCCTCTCTGACCCTGATCGCACCCTCCCGATCATCCCAGTACGACTCGGGACCTCCACGAGGGTGTACTCAGCGCTGTGGGATTCCGGTTCTCAGAGCGACTTCATTCACCCACGCGTGGTGAAGGAAGTCCGCTTACCCACGACAGGGTCTCTGACGCCCATCTCCGTTACCCTAGAGGATGACAAGACCCAGCGCGTCTTCGATCAGACGGTCACTGACCTCCCCTTCTTCCTCACTCTCGAGCCGACTGATCGTTCCCCGGCGTCTCGTCGCCACCGCTCCTCTGCACATTTCGATGTGATGGAGACGCGGTACGACTTCATTCTCTACATTCCGTGGTCTCGTCGGTTTCGCAGCACCGAGGCCGATTGGGCGACCAACACTCTCGTTCTCAAAACGAAGTGTGGACAGACGTATCGCGTACCTTTCATAGGTACCACGACGATACCACGCCCCGATCCTCCTCCCCCGGAGCCGTCTGTGCCCACACCATCCCCCTCTATCACTGTCGCCTCGCCTCGGCAGTTCGCTCACTTCATTCGACAGGACGACGTCACCTTCTTTATGGTGAACGTGACGGATCTCTTACACTATGATCCACCCTATCCCGACGCCGAGCTCATCCCTCTTGAGCCATATCCTCCTTCTATCTCCATGGCTCCCATCTCTACTCCCGTCCCTCCGCCGTCCGTCGAGTCCACTCCGTCGTCGCGCGCTGACACTGACGCTGAGGAACTCGCACGATATACGGCTAACCTGGAGCCCGAAGTTCGTGACCTCATCCGAGAGTACCGCGACATTTTCCCATCGTCGTTCTCGTACGCCGGCATCCCACCGATGCGTGACGTCGAGCACTCCATTCAGCTTGTGCCTGACTATCGTGTTCACCACCAGACACCCTACAAACTCTCGATTCCCGAGGCCACTGAAATCAAGCGTCAGCTTGAGGAGCTCCTGAGACTGGGTTTCATTAAACCCAGCAACTCCCCGTGGGGTGCACCCGTCCTCTTTGCTCACAAAGCGGATGAAACTCTTCGTCTCTGCATCGACTACCGCGGTCTCAACCGCTACACGGTTCAGAACAGCTACCCCATGCCTCGTTCCGATGAGTTGTTCGACCGCCTAGCAGGCAACCGCTTCTTTACAAAGATTGATCTTCGTAGCGGTTACCATCAGATCCGCGTCGCTGCAGCCGACCAGCCGAAGACCGCGTTCTGATCGCGCTTCGGCCACTACGAGTTTACGGTGATGCCATTCGGCCTCACCAATGCACCCGCCACCTTCCAGAGGGCGATGAACGACATCTTCAAGGACATCCTGGAGTAGTACGTTCTCGTTTACCTCGACAATATCCTGGTCTACATTCGTACCCTTGAGGAGCACCTCAGACACCTCCGCGACGTCCTTGACCGCTTGCGCAGACATGGCTTCTACGCCAAGCTCAGCAAGTGCCGCTTTGCCCACCACAAAGTGGACTTCTTAGGACATTACGTGTCTGACCAGGGTCTCCACATGGACGACGCGAAGATCACTGCTATTGCGGAATGGCCCGCTCCCACATCCGCCAAGCAGCTTCGCAACTTCCTAGGACTGACCACCTACTATAGTAACTTCATCCAGGGATACGCTAGGTATTCCTACGTCCTTACCTCCACCCTCCTCCGGAAGAACCCACCCTGGGCTTGGACACCCCTCTACGAGGACGCCTGCCGCGCCCTCAAGAAGGCGGTGACATGTGCACCGGTTCTTCACCTACCCGATTTTGATCGCCCTTTTATCCTTACCATCGATGTGTCAGACTTTGCTGTAGGAGCAGTGCTTTCTCAGGTCTTCCCCTCCTCTCCTGATTCCTCTCATCCTCGTATCCCTCGCTTCCCACCACCTACCCCTACCACTGCTTCCCGACTGACGCCTACTCGTCCAGCTACTGACGAGCCTTCTATTGAATATTCTCCTACCATCGCCGAGGACGGCAATGTTGAGTCTCGCTTAGGTGATTGTCCGATAGCCTTCTACTCACGTCAACTCCTGCCCGCCGAGATAAACTACACTACTGATGAACGTGAGGTTCTCGCAGTAGTTTATGCCGCTCGGCACTGGCGTCACTACCTGCATGGGGCACCGTTCACGGTGCGTACGGACAACTCTGTTGTCCAGGCTTTTCTGACAAAACTGAAGCTCACTCCTCGACAGGCTCGCTGGTGGCGCGACCTATCCGAGTTTAGTTTCACCACTGAGCACATCAAGGGTGAGACTAACCGGGTCGCAGATGCATTATCCCGACGCCCTGACCACGATCAGGAGCAGATCCAACTCTCTTCCATCTCGGTCTCCACCGTCCACCACTCGATGATCGACGAGTTTCGCACTCAGTACCGCCACTGCCCCGACTATCGCGACATCCACGCGACCCTTCGGAGTGGCAAGTCCATCCCGAACTACTCTCTCGGTGACAACGGTCTCGTATACTGGCACGGTTCACAGGGCACCAGAGAGCCCTGTATTTGCGTTCCCTCCACTGGACAGCTACTGGACAGCTACGTGTCTGAGCAGTAGCAGAGTTCCATGACCAGGCAGCCGCCGGTCATATGGGCTTCCACAAGACGTTGGCTCGTGTGAGCCGCCTATACGTCTGGCCGAAGCGCAAGGACTTTATGAAGGACTACGTCGCAGAGTGTCCCACCTGTCAGGAGGTGAACAGTGCGAACCACCTGCCTTATGGTTTGCTCCAGCCTCTTCCTATCCCTGAGGGTCGTTGGCAGTCCATCTCGATGGACTTTATCGGTCCTCTTCGACCTACGACCCCCCGCAGTCATGATGCTATCCTGGTCGTCGTTGACCGCTTCATGAAGCGTGCACGCTTTGTTCCGTGCCGCTATGCTATCAGTGCACGTGAGGTCGCCGACATCGTGTTTGACCGAGTCGTGCGTGACCACGGCTTACCTCTGAGCATCATATCTGACCGTGACCCGCGCTTTACCAGCCGATTCTGGCAACGGCTCCACGAGGTGTACGGCACTCAGCTCCGCTTCTCCTCGTCTTACCATCCTCAGACTGATGGTCAGACCGAGATCACGAACAGGACTCTCGGAGATATTCTCCGAAAGATTGTTCGTGACGACCAGCAGTGGAATTTCCATCTTGCCCACACGGAGATAGCCTACAATCACGCCGTCTCGCCAGCCACGGGGATGTCGCCTTACTATTGCGACCTCGACTATCACCCTCGTGTTCCCGCGGACTTCCTTCGACCATCCGAGCTGCACCCCGACACGAGTTGTCCCGCGCTAGACGATTGGGTTGCACACATGACGTCGATCATGAAGACCGCACATGAGCACATAGCCGCTTCCCAGACTCGCATGGCAGCACGTGCGAACCGATCGAGGATGGATTATCCATTCAAAGTCGGTGATGATGTGCTTATCGACGCCCGCCACTTACAGCTCGAAGCGGACACGCTTTGCAAGTTTCGGCGTTGCTTCTTTGGCCCATGCCGCATCCTCCAGGCCGTCGGTTCTGATACGGCATCTAGCCCGGTCAGCTTCCGTGTGAAGCTGTCCGACTACCTACGCCAGGCTCGTGTGCACGATGTCTACCATGTCTCGTTACTGCGTCCTTACCGCAGACCGTTTGAGCGTTTCGCCAGACGACCATACGAGCGCCCTCCACCCATCATGGTGGACGGTCACGAGGAGTTCCTCGTTTCAGACATCATTGGTCGCTGAATCACCAACGACAACCCTCCCCACGTCGAGTATCTCGTACGTTGGAAGGGTTACCTTGATAAGGAGGCTACCTGGGAGCCCCTCGAGCACTTGCAGCACGCTCGCATGTTGGTGCGTACCTATGACCGTGCTCGTCGTGCTGGGTTCACTCCTCCTCCTCAGCCCACTGACCCTCCTCCTTCTCCTCCGACTGAGGAGACTGCTGAAGTCGAGACTGCTCCATCTGAGGCAGACCTTCAGCAGCAGCCGGATGCTTTTGAGCGTCCACAGCGCACTCGTCGTCGTCCTGCTCGATACGACGATTGACTCTGACTTACCTTCCCACGTCCTTGACTTCTCAGTACTCCATCCACTCCAGTTTTGCTACTTCAGCTCGTCGACGTTACGGCTCTTCCTCGACGGCATTCCGGACTTCTCATCGTGGATGTCATAGGCATCTTCATGGACTTCGTCACAATCAGCTCTGCCTACTTCAGACGTCGTCACTCTCTTACCACTTTACCCTGTATAGTACCCTGCTTGTGTCACATGATGGTCTCCCTCTAGCCGGGTTCCTCTTAGTTGGGCTCTCCCTTGGTATACGCATAGGCATCGGGACCGTAGCGTTGCCCTGGCTTCCCATCTTACGGATCTAGCTCCGACTTCCCCGCCTTAGGAGTCATTTGCATGATTCCCTTACCCATCACCCCTACCCTCTGCCGGCCCTCACGCCCTAGTTAGTTAGGCAGCCCCGCATGCTTCATCTAGGTGCGCCCAGTATACCAAGCTCCCTTGTTCCCTTGCATGGTCGACCCTCCATAGCGGTCACCCCTTAGCCGAGCTTTACCCGCCCTGATGGTCTATCTGTTAGGGTCATTGGTTCTGTTCGCTCCCAGTTCCCTACCCTCATTGAGCCTGATGACATGTGTCTCCCTGTTATCTATGTGTGGATGCCCTTAGGAGTTTTCGACCCATAGGCTGCATTCGCCACCCTCAGAGACCATCCCACCCTTTAGTTTGCGACACACCCCTCCTGTAACATATGGTTTACTAGTTGTTGCTTGTTGCTCTCAGACTGAGGCTACTGCCTCTGACATTTCTAGGATTTAGTTGTTCTGCTTTTGTTGTTCTTATGACTTATACACTAGTCAGTTGTTATCAGACTAAGGTTAGTGCCTCCAACATTCTAGGATCTAGTTGTCACTACTTTGTGCTTCCTAAGACATGTATGCTAGTTAGGTTCTTTTGCTTTCCTAGGACATGTATGTTAGTTAGTTGCTTCTGCTTTCACTTAGGCTGTTAGCTGTGACATTGTTGTTTTGTGACATTTTATATCCTAGGTTGCATCGCATGGACTCAGCATGGAGCTTGCTCCGCATCCTAGACTACTTAGGTTTTCTGTTCTTTGGTAGAGTTCCGCTTCTTGGCGGAAGCATGTTTGTATCTAGGCGATACATCACAGGCCGAGGATCGTGTAGCGAACCTCGGGTTGGCTTGTGAGACCAGCCCCTTGGCCTGTTCTCACAGGCCTGTGTTGTATTCGGGGTAGGCCAGTCCAGGCCGGTACCTCTGTCGGTACCAGCCTGTCCAGTCCAATCCCGTCAGTCCACTGGGGTATACCCCAGCCATTGTCTGTTTCACGCTCATTCTTCACTTGCACATTTTGGAGTACGTGCGTTGGAGTCTTGCGTGGGGAGCTGCGCTGTGCACCTTGCTCCCTCCTTCTTCCTCCATCTCCATCTCTGTCACTAGCGGAGCACCACACCTGGTGGGTCCGCTACAGGGAGCTTAGCGGTTATATTCAAGTACCAAAGATTCTTACTCGAGTAATCAAACGTGCAAAGCTACATCAATTGATCTCCAACTACTCTACATCATCAAATACGTATAGTCACGTCTGAGATACTCTATGGTATCTGGATTCCTAAATTTCTAACCAAATTTGTTACTGTGGGTGTTATGGTAAACGTGCGATATTAATACTAACCTTCCCACTCCCACTCGATATAATGCAATCGTAAAATTTTTCACCAAATCTCTAACCCGTCATTCCAACCAAAATAAAAAACGTTATTTGCCTAAATCACCAACTACCTTCTAACCTAGATCCGTCCACTAGGAACCCCGATAGGCTATAAAAGGAAGTAACAAAAACTTATCTCGGTAACGGGCATGCATAGCAATACTGATGTCGCCTCACTCAACCTTAACTACATCAGAAATGCAAGGCATTGCCCTAACACCTATGATGCTAAAATCAGCGAAGTGTTGACTAAAGGTGTTATCATACACATTGTGACGCATAGGTGAATCACTAAAACACTTTCATTCTCAAGTAATTCACATACATCTTTCATCATTACAATTCAACAAAAACACTCAAACATTGTTGTTTTGCGTAGATCATCGGTCTGCCAATAACTTGGGTTCATCCACTACGGACCCTGGTAGGCAACCGACATCTCTGGCAACGACGCCACCCGTCGAGTACACCAGTCCTGCAAGTGGAACACTTCCGACCTCGTCAGGCAAGATTTTGCATGACTTTTATTTTTGCACGAGTGTTTGCTGCTTCGCCTGAGTGCGTCAGCCACCTCTCACGAACCCCTACGACATGATAGAGGTCTCGCGAGACACAACTTACCTTCACCTATGAAAGTTGTCACCAACCCATTGATTGACATATCTCCGCCAAGCTACCGAACGACGTACGAAAGTCGCCTGAATGCAATCACAAAGGCGGCCCAGCCGAGGGCGTTTCTTGTTCACCGTAGCACAAGGGGTACGAGTGGTCGAACACCTTAATCGGGTCCGTGTGCCAACCGTCACTCTTGAGTTGATCTCCCGAGCTCGGCTCAATGCCGGCCGACTATAACGGTCAATCTAACCACGCGATACACTTCACAAAGTAAAACGTACGTAAATCGCACCCAGCTCCTTATTCACTTTTGCCCCACAACTTTCGACAATCGATCAAGCGGGTATCGTGCGCGAGACTCTGAATAAACGTCTTAGTGACGCTAATTTTATGATATTGACTAGCCATGCATGAATACGTTGTCGGGGCAAATACAAGGGTATTTGCCGGGGTTTTTCAACGTCGGACGCTGTCTGACTTTTCCGTATGGTTAAAGGACTTGATAAGACTGACATTTGTCAAAAGTTATTCAAACTAGGCCTATGACGAAGGACTAAAACTTTTAGAAACTTAGTCCGGATACCTACAGTGTCCGAGAGTAATGATAGTATTCGGCAGTTTCCAGCAGGACCGCAGTAAGACGCTGACGTATGAACGTTGAAATTAAGCCTATTCTACCTAAAATAATGTCATGCGGTTGTTAAGCCGCGCGATTCAGGGCATAGATAGGCTAAAAAGAACGGTCCCGCCCGACGTGGGGCTGTGGCGCAGAAGGAATATCAAGTTTTTTTATTTCTTGGGCCGCGAGGGTTGACCTCGAGCCAAGGGGGGGGGGCACAGGTCGATGTTGAGGCCTACCCGGTTAGGCGGCCAACCAAACCGAGGTCACGTGGGCAACCGGGGGGGCGAGGGTCCACAAGCCAGGCCTCGCCACGGGAGATAGTGACTGGGTAAGCTCTTCATATAGAAAAGTTGTTCCTATCACTGTCATGATAGGAGCTAGCCTAGTAGGTTACAAGAGTCGAGTCTCACCCGGCAGATACCGGGATCAAACCGAATGCGTCCCACTGGGCTAGCTCCTTTTGGAGCGGTCGTGGGAGAAACTCCTCCGATGCGGCTATTTTCGGCCCTGCGATCAGTGAAATCGCACGGCTGAAAACAGCCGCACGGATCAAGGTTAGCATGGCCTGCGCAAGGATGATACGCATAGATCGAGAAAATGGTCTAAGTTTTTTATTTTTATTTTTTGAAAAAAAAAAAAAAAAAAAAAA